TGAATTCTAGCGCTAGGCAACACTTCACGGACCCGTGTGAACAAATATTTATTTGTTTGAACAGATTCGGCTTTGTAAATTTAGGCGTTGCCAGCCACCAACAATCCTGGACTCAGGTAATTGTTATGCAGGCGGCACTTTTTTTTTTCGGTGTCAAATATTGCGGATTTTATATACTGGCAAAAGTTAAAACAGCGTAAGTAAAAAAAAAAAAAAAAAATCATTGCGCATGCGCCGAACTTAAACCGCGTTTTGGATTTGCAAATAGAAACGACTTTATTTCTTTGTGCACGCTAATCTAAAACTCGCTACTGTTAAGTGTCTGTGGCAGTTCCTTACGCGGAAGGTCCCAACCTTTGTGTTAAAATAAATTGAAGGATGGCACTGGTTATCTAAATATAATCAATGAATCACTTAAATGACTGTCGAAATGGGAGCGAGCACGGTATACAATTTCTTAAACTTCGTAAGTAAACCGACACACCAAATGTTTACGTCGCAAAAAAAAAAAAAAAAGAATCTCATGCAGATGTTGGTGTGATCTTATGAACAAACAAATCGCCTGATGTTGACCTACCGTTAGTTCTAACCGCAGATAGAATAAAAGTTAAACGTTCGTTGTTTATCTCCTCCGCGAGTTTCCTCACATAATCAAAAGAAGCTGTTTTCGATATATTATGAATAAAAATAACAATACTTGCAGGAAATAAAGATAGTCTCTTTTTACTGACTATTCTTGACGCCATCCGATCCTAAGTGCCCGATATAAATATACGGGCTTCTTACTGAAAATGTTCCGCCACTATTACTAAACAAACCTCAGTTGTCATAAGGACCTTTGAACCCTCGTCGAGTAGACGTATCGAACTACAGTTTCCGAAGTAAGGCAAGAAAGCGCGGTGAAACACGACAAAAAACAGGAATTCAACGCATCCCCCAAGGCGCGGAGGGGAGAGCGGAGCAGCAAGTTGGAGCAACCTAATGGCTGCCGCGTCACGTGATTCCAAGATGGCAGCACCCATGCAGCGGAGGATGAAAAGGCAGGACGCGCGTGATAAGACGATTCCAGCGAACGGTTGAAGGCAGCTCCCTCCGGCTTGCAGATGTTTACAAAATGTTTTTTTATTGAAGATCCCGTGTGGACAAGAGTGTCTTTTATCTAGAAATAAAAACAGCCAAGTCGAGATGGGCCCATTGCCAGAGCGTGTCGATAAATTATTCAACGATTCGAAATCGATGCATGAGCACATGTTTCGGCAATGCAAATCGAAGTTTGCTTTCCAGCTACGTTATGTATTAATCCCCAAAATAAACCACAGTCGCGTTGTGAGGGTCAACGTAAGTTCACGACTCTCCGCTTTCGTGCAGGAGATCGCGATTAAGGAAAACCAACAGAACTAACTTTTCGACACTTTCCAGACACAACGGGTGGCGTAAATGAGGCATCAACTAAAAGTTGTAGACGCTAAATCGAGTCAGTGCCACCACTGCAAGATATCAGCACTAAGATAAAGTTACGAAGAGCTACAAGCTGAAACAGCGATTCTCGCGACAAGACTTGCACCCACTTTATCAGCGTAGCCTCATGTTCATCGACGGTACAGCGGTTAAGTTAGGTGCGCGATCTATTCACAAAATGTTCCGATCACACTCGAGAGGATGGCGTCGGGGAAAAGTATTTTCTGTTTACAAACGCAACCCACTGCCGCTGGAGGTTTCGGTCATTTGGAAAGCGACAGAGTTTGAAGACATTGCAGCCGCAGTTGCCTTGTCGGATCAAGTCCGCGATACAGATGTTTTTCGATAATATTCCTCTATTTCGGTTGTTATTCGTGCTGCCTATTACCGAACAATGATGTCCCAATGATCAGGGAATTGCCATTGATTCCGCTAGCTCTAATTACTTCTGCAAGTAAAATAGAATAAAAGAAACCGCAAAGAAAACAACCGAACTTGGAGAAACACACGCGTCCAAGACGTTCATCCTGGTTTTTCGCTCGTTCCTAACCATTCAGTAAGGAGGAAAGCGCCGGCAGCCCTTTCCACTTTTCTTTCCAGGTCGGAGGAACAAAGCAATAAAGCACCACGTATTCTTTCTTTCTCGCTTCTGTTCTCCCTGCTTTAAATTCCGTGAGTCAGTATCCTAAAAGCAGCATTTACCTAATAGGATTCTGCATCGCGCTTGTTTTGCTGTCGTTTAGGAGGAGCATTTCCGAAGTTGCGAATGACAGTTAAGTCAACCCGTTAGAAAGGGGAGCATTCGCAGAGGAACAGGACTTGGACGTGGCAATGGTGGAAGTGCATCGAAACATATCACACATCGTTTCCCTTCCTTGAGTTTGAAGTAGCTGGCCCCAGGATACGGGAACACATTCTTCGCTTCATCAAAAAAACACTGAATTGAATTGAGAAGTTGAGACTTCCACGGCCATTACGCTTCGCTTTGATAGAACGGCGGAGGTATAGGGTTGTGATAACAGGGCACGCGCGGCCAAAGGCACGATGGAAGGCCGCGAGCACGAGCTGGACGCTGGGGCAGGGGCAAAAGACGCCCTGACGTTTTCATTATGTTAGCGGCTAGAGTTAAAAGGCCGCGAGAGAACAGAAAAATGAGTGCGGTCATGACTGATGAACTCCTTTATTACATAGATGCGTGGTGAGTTGGTTCCGAGGTGGTAACGGTAAAATTCCGAGGTGTCACAATGTCAAAAGTAAGCGGTTAGGAGGTCCGGCAGCTTTCTTCTCTTTTTTTTTTTTTTTTTTTGTTTATTAGTTATAGTTTAAGATACGAGTTAAGAGCGTCCCAGAAGCCGCGGGTGCTCGCTGCCTTCCCGATCGCGCCTTGGCTGGATGTACTCATGACGATACTCAGAAGTTTCATCGAAGGTATAGAATTCTCGCGCTCGAGACAGAGCTCCTGCAGAGCATTCTGGACTTGGATCTGACTATAGTCAACGTTTTTCTCTATTGCACGCTGTACTCCGAAGAACACACACAAAAAATATTCAGTATCCTTTTATCGGCACACACACACTTTCACACTTTCGGAGCCGACAGCGAGTCGTGGTTACCGACATCTCGAGAAACGCATGGGCCGTGTTCGCTCTTCTTGTTCCGTCGTTTGTCCTTCGGCGTCTCTAAATCCGCGGAGCGCTAATCGGATGCTCGGGATTCGGCGCGCCCTGCGTTTCCGAAGCTGTCGGTGACATATATACGGACACTTGTTCTGAAGATGCTGAAAGAAATTTCTTCGTTCCGTGTACGACCTGTCCTGGGGCCCGAATCTGGACACTTGGCCAAAAAATCGGCGACAAATCTGGTGGCTATGATTGGCCGGCGCCAAGGTCAAGTGCGGTGTGGGCCAATCACGGCCGCCAGATTTCTCGCCGAATTGTTCGCCAAGTGTCCAATTTAGGGTCACTGTTCTGACAACGGGGGAGTTGCCTACACGCTGCCTACACGGTTGCCAAGCGGTGTCCTCACACTACCATTGTTTTCGTAGGTTTCTTCCTGGAGGCGACTAGGACCACTACTTACGCAACGCTTAGAGTATCGTCACTGCATCCCTTGATTTTTCCTTCGGGTGCCGCCATTTTGGGTGTTTTTTTTGTAGAGTGGACGCAACCGCATAAGTTAATATAATGACCTAGAGGGACCATGGAGGTAAGAAACTTTTGGAGGTGACATCAACTCCACCAGATGTGAAGCCGGGGGAGACTTCAGGTTTGGAGGGACAGGCTCCCGACGATGACCAAATCCATAAGACGCTATTGAACGAAAGGGAGAGCTGAACCGGCGCCAATGGCTGTTCTGGTCACCCTTGGGGACTTTCCCACCTACCGCGACCTCTACTTTTGGCATCACTCGGGATTTTGTCGTTTGGCCGGCTTGAGCCAATATGTCGCCTAGTCTTCTCCATAAAAAAGGATCCATGCATTCGGGCCGCTTCGAAACGACAGGGTATAGGAGAAGACATCGGCGGTCCCAGTGGGTGGTCCCGATGGACCCATATCGCTGGCGACGCCTTCATATACGCGAAGAGGCAGACATAACATCCGGGCCCCTGTAAGGCATCTACCCTCAGTTCTTTTCCTGGCTTACCTTGCAAGAAACCATTGGAATCGCGCATTGTATAAAAATTAATGAAGTTGACAAGCGCTCGAGCCATTTCAACTCGTCGCGGCAAAAGGAACATGCATGTATAACCTTCCGTCTGCTTTCTCTTTCCGCTCTTCAGTCGCTCTGTTCCTCGTTCTCGGGGCCACCGATGCCAGAGCTCGAGATTTGTTGCGTTCTGCTCCCGTCTTTAGCCCGCTGGGCGCAGTCGGTGACCGTTGCGATTCAAATATGCGACCCCCTGCAGACTTCAGGTGTTTGGTGTGACCAAGTTCGGGCGATAATAACGTTTTGCTTTGTCGCGGACGGTTTTAACATTTATGGAAAACAGAATAATCCGTTTCCTGCAATCTCGAATGAAGCATCGGGTAACTGACAACTCTGAAGCGTCGCGCTTGTTATTAATGACTCTAGCGGTGGCAAATGACCGACGTGACGAGTAAAAAAAACAAAAACAAAAACACTTATTTTACATTAAACTAGATGCACGGAAATGGGCGTAACTAGATATCTACATGTTGTGATTTTACCGCACATCTTAAACGGCAGCATGCCACATGTCTTGTGTTTGTAAGATAATCATCTACAAATGCATTTAACAAGCGAGTACAGCTAATTATTGGTAACTCGTGTGGCGCACGAAGTGCAACTGCAGCGAGTTGTGGAAAATTTTCACGACCTTAAAAAAGAGTTTATTCGAGACCCGAGTCTACACACTCACTTTCCCTAACTGCGTCTTATCCTAAGTTACAAACTTACGTTGAATATTAGTCACAAATGGCTTAAGAATAGCATGATGTGTTTATGAGCTGATCAATTTCTACTATATTTTGAACATACATTCAACTGCATGTGAGCTTGCGGGGCTTATTAACAGAGCTCAATGACGATTGAGGCTTTATTAAAGGCTTCTAATGGCTGGTTTTCGAAGGTAGCAAAATCGTTGAGGTTCACTGACAAAAAACAAATAAATATCTTGTCGTTTCTAGTTTGTCAGCGGCAAAGTTGAGTGTTTCGCCGAGCTTGGAAGTGTGACGAAGTTGCAGGTTCAAAACAGCAGCACCAAGCCTCTCCCACAAAGCTCCCTGATGGTCATGATTGGTGGTTTCCTAATGTACAGCGTTTGCTCTGCTTCAGTGGAAAGAGTGGAAGGCTTTGTTCACTCTAAGAATCCTGGAACGTCTACTCTCCGGCAAAGCACTTCAAAGAGCTTTTCAGTGACCGAGATACTTGTTCCGAGCCCATTTGTCAAAGTTTCTCAGTAAATCAGCATATTTTCCCAACACATTCACACGTATTCGACGAAAGGATCTTTCTGCATCCCCGGCATCCGTTAACCATACCATCCGCATCAGAAAGTGGCAATGCGGATGGCGTCGGCTAGGTGTGCTCATTCACCCAATGTAGGGGTGGTCATAATGTTTTGGCAGATCAGATTATGTTTAGACCTACAGAAACAGTCTACACTGAGGCAATGAGCACAGTGGAACGTCATGCTCAGTGCCAGCTAGAGCGCAGATTGTTTTTATCAAAGTCAAAAAACATCAGCCTCGTCATTCGACGAGCTCACTTTGTACATTGCAGGGATTGACTCTTCCAAGTACTTTGCGGGCGAGTAGACGCTCCGTTTTTTTTTCTCAAGTGTATAGAGTATACGTGATGGGGGAACACCGTGCCCTGCGCGGTGTGGCGACGTGTGGTGTCGCTCACAAGACGGAATCCCTGAGCTTCTCAACTTCGTCATCGACGACCACTTCGCTCAGGTCGGCGGCCTTCTTCTTGAAGCAGATGTGGTCGACCATCGCGCCCGTGAAGCAGTCGCCCAGACAGTTGTTCACCGTCCGCGCCCGGTCCCTGGAACGAACAGTTATGGTCAGAACCACGGTGGAAGAGGAAAGAGAGAAATAAAGAAAAGAGAGAGAGAGATATCTTGGAACAAAGTCAAAAAGAGAGTCGAAATTTCACTCGGACTTTACGCGTCTCCCGGCAGGGGCGCTATCGGGTTGGGACTCCGCGCGCAGACGTGTGCGCGAACAAGGACGGTTCCTCAAGCTCCTGTCATGTTGCGCCACCTCACGGCGTTTGTCAAAAATATGAGCGGGCCTTCGCCACGCCTGCTCCATGGCGAGGCGGTGCCGTTCAGAGACCTCTGTCTTCTTCCACCGTGGTCAGAACCACTAAATAAGCTAGGCTTAGAGTATCGGTACTAGTGATGGAGCGGAACTTTTTTTTTTTAAACAGGTTTCGGACTCGAAACAAATTTCGGACCCGAAACAGAGATTTCGGAAAGTTTCGAAAGAACGGCCGAACCTCGGTGTGTTTCGGATAGATTCGGATTGTTTCGGAGCGTTGCCAAACCATATTTTGAGCGTTCAACTCTTTTTTAACAATACAATCTTATAAACTACATTAAATAATTAAAATTTTAGATATAAATACTTAATTTAACACAAAAGGCTTGTTCTGATAAAATCTGAGATACGGATAAATAAAATAACAGACAACACGACACAAAATCTTGAGATTTTGTGTCGGTCAAAATGGTTTCGGTTTTACATTTTCCATAGTCACGTCGTCACGTGACCAAAACAAAGCGGGAGGTAGGTGAAACCAATTATCACAAATCGTAATGCTCCGTTTTCATCGCATCAGTAGCTCGACGGCGTGTGTGGTGTTCGTTCCAAGCGCCGGAACGTGGCGGTTTACGTTGACACAACAAAGGTGGCATATGTGGAAGTAACTGCCGGAAGATCTCTGACATCTGTGTTATGCCATCGAGAATATGAGCACGTGCTGCCCGAAACCTCCCGCACTGTACACGGTAAATCTAGGTACAGTTGATTCCAACGAACTTGATAAGCGTACCATCAACGCGGGTACATACGTACGTATCCAAGGGGGCGCACCGAGCGACTATTTTTCGCAGCAGCACGGGTTTCAAACAAATGGCGGTGACAGGCCTACGTAAAGTTAAAGCTATTTGCACAGTACAGATTAACGAGGCTTGCTTAATTTTACGTCACTATCAGTGGCTATGTAACTTATTCCTAGCTCTTCCAAAATACACTAATCAATTGCTTACCCCAAGGCGTTGATTGCTCGTGCATTACAGTTAGGCGCCCTTAACACAGAATGCTCCGCTGAAGACTACCGGCAGCGTGTTTCAAGAGTGGAAATGAAATCACGGATCAGTCAACCGTGATTCCCGACAAAAAAATGTTCGGGAGGCCTTCAGACTGCACCCAGAGCTTTGACACTTGAAGACGCACAAGCTACCATAGTACCATAGAGCGTTGCTTTTGGAGATCCTACCGTCAGTTTGGCCTTCACTTCCAGCACGGATCAAGAACGCACTCGATAGGTCGACGCGCCCGCAAGCCTCAACATGGGATCGTAGGGTTCTACGAAGGTAAATCCTACGATCCTATGTTGCGGGCAACCTGGTAAGAAACTGCTCGAATTTCGGTCTGCATCAATTGATATGGAGTCTTTGAACACTCACAACGTCCACAAAACCAAAGGAAACAACGCAATGTTGGCAAGATAGAAACGAAATATCCGAACCTTCGAAAAAATAGAAATTTCGTTCAAAAAGTTTCGGAATTTTCCGAAACACTCTGAAACCGAACCTCCGGAGTTTCACCCCATCACTTGGCCGTACTCCATTCCACGGGTTTCGGGGGCGCCACCATTTTGTTGTCTAGTATAGCCACGTGTGTTTGAAAACTTCAACCATTATTATTTTTTTTTTTTGAAGACGGGCAGAATCGAGTAAATTTACACACGGAAAGTGCTGCGATTCATTTGAAACATTTAAGTGGGATGAACTGGCTGATATGGCGCATTCTCGGCAACTAATCAGTTAACTGGGCTATGTAATTAGCATACTGACATGGCCAATCAAAAATATTGTATATGTTCTGCTGACTTCTGGCTCGAGCTCAGGTTCCCATTATAACGAACAGCGGAAAAGATACAGCAAACAAAACCCTTTTGAGTTTCTTCTATGCACCTAAATTCATCACCACGGTGAAGAAATGCCTTGAATACATTTTACCGTGGTTCAAATTAGTTTCGTCTTCTTTTGAAAACCAAATAAACAAGAAAGAAAGAGGAAATGTCCTCCTGTACTCACAGTAGCCATTCAACGGTAAAGAGCAAGCTGACGTCGCTGACAGGTGCACCAATCACGGACAGCGTCATCACCATCAAGAACAGGGCCGCACTCGGTACAGAAGTGGCCGCCACGCTTACGGCAGTTGCTGTGATCCTAGGCAGGCAAGGGACGCCGAAAAGCCGACATTCAGGGGCAGGCTTCCTTCGCTAACATTCACCAACGTCCATTCACAGGTGACAGACCGAATTTTCTAGCTCACCTCTAAAACAAAACAACAGATCTTGCCATTTTTTTGCGTATTAGGGACTTAATTTTTTTTTATAGCTCGTTGCACACTTAACGTAAATCTTTCAAGGTCAGGTCGGCTATGCTAAAACAGATCTATTGGTGAAATCACAAAGAAAAAAAAAACAGCTTGTTGGTTTTTTACAAGCCAACCGTCGAAGTGCCAACAAACTCATATATCGCCAGCCATTGTTAGAATTGAATTTTAGTATTAATATTCTACACAGGTTGGCACTAATGAAGCTGGTAAATATGGGGCGTAGTAGTATCGCCTCACACGATGTTCTCCTATAAACTTTACGAGAACAATGTAGAAACAGTAACGTACGCACGAGGAGCATCCACGTAAGACTACAGCATGACATTTTCGATTAGTCAGGAGCAAAATAGAAAAATAGCTAGCGAATCGAATGTGTGTCCTATACACATATTGTTGTGACAGAGGATCGTTTCCCTACATATTTGTTTGGCGCATTATGGCCACCGTTGCCGCTGCGCCATTAAAATATTAATCTTAAGTTTGGCTACATACATTGTATGCACTGTGCAAAGTCAAAAGCACCATCTGGGTGTGACGTCTCAATCATGAGTTGAAACGGTCTATAAACTTCATATATTATATCCCAAGTTGAGTTTGCATCCATTTCAAAAGCAGAAAACAAAAAGCGTAGCCCTTTGAATTGCTTTCTATGTATACGCCTGAAAATTAATTTTTATTTACGCGCTCTCACTTATGCCGCTCAAAAAACCGCAGAGTTCGTGATATACGGCGAGCAAGTTCGCCTGCTCCTTGTGGAGCAAGTTACAGTGCTCGGCGTTATTCAGAGCTCGGCTTCACGGCGCCGAGCTCTGAATAAAGGGTTGCTTTGTGTGTGTGGTTTAAACAAAAGCGACGTCTTCTGCAAGTTGTAGCAATGACTGCCGTGCTTTTTCTGCGAACGTCAAAAGTCCACCAGAGTCTTTACAAACAAAGACTCGGCCTTCAAGAAAGGGAAAAAACATACCTCATAGTTTTTTTTAATTATTATTTAACAGTCATTAAAGGCACACCGAGTGACAAGGAACTCAATGCCGAAATGTTTATCCCGTCGAAATAATGCGGTCAGCTGAATGAGAGCTTTGCAAAACAGGTCTCAACATTCTTTTTAATTTTTTTAGACTTCTTATTGACTTTCCCTGATCCTACTGAATTCCTTTATAAACGCACTTTGTTTTGATTATTGTCAAAAAACTTTCAAAAGAAAAAATATTGAACGTTTAGTAAACGTATTTATAAAAAAAAATTAAAAAAAAAGTTGTAAAGACGTTTTTCTGTAGGTTATTTTCTAAAAAAAAAAATCAAAAGAAAAAACAATAGATTTTGTTTTAGACTTATTTATAAAAGATTAAAAAGAAGTTGTAACGACGTTTTTTGTAGGTTATTTTCTAAAAAATAAAAAGAAAATTTATTGACATTATTTCTTTATATTATTTTATAGAAAGATAAATGTTTTTTTTATTATTTTATTTGGTCTGCGGTCGTGTACGGGGTCCGGCATGACGGATTTTTTTTTTTTTTTTTACTTTTTATTGAAAATGTGTTGACTTCTTGTTCCCTCTGATTACTTTCTTTTGACTGACTTCCTGTTGACATGGTCAACAGAAAGTTTGTTGATTTTGTGTTGAAACGTTTTTTTTATGATTTTCTTCAGCCTGAGTAAAAAAAAAAAGAGCTATTGACTTTCTATTAACTCTACGTTGGATCTTTTTCTGATGACTTCCTGTTGAAAGTGTTATCAGAAATACTGTAGACGTTCTGTTTACTTCGTGTTTAAATTATTCAGTTGACTTTCTGTAGCCAGTGTCAATAGAAAAGCTACAGACTTTATGTTGACTTTTTATTGAACATAATTCATGTTGACTAAATGTCAAAAGTCACTAAGTTTCTCAATAGTCTCTGACAAGTTGAGAACCGTAGGGAGGAGCTTCCGGTCTCCCGCCTCCAGCGCGAGCATTCTAGCCTTGACAACTTTTCGACGTCTCGCGCCCCTCGCATGGGACGCGTGCTGGAGGCCAGGCGTTCGAAAAACACGCCCTGCCGTTCTCACTTTTTAGGTGACTATTGTGACTTTATTGACCCTATTCAACTAGTAAAGAAGAGCAAAATAACTATTTTAAAGTTGAGCAACCGCCTTGACTGGCTTTTTCCTGAGTGGTGCTATGCAGAGGAGCGATAACATTTGTTCCATGAGCCGTTTTTGTGGATGTTCCTTTAGCGACTACACGGAATTATTATTAGTTGTACCAATGCTTTTTAGTAAGAAATGGAGTCCACGAACTTCGAAACACTGTCTTCCCTTTGACAGACTTTCGAGAAGGAGACCGGAGACTTGGAAACTTAGTAAGTGCTGAGGTGGTCACCGGCCAAATGATTACCTTCAATATGTAGGCTATATAAGGCTCTGGTGCTATCAACATTGCTGTGAGTCTGGTGTTGAGTGCTTCATGGTAGGGATGTCGCGAACCACCCTAGGTTCGATTTCGAAAGGTTTCGATATTTGCGAAGCGAACTGAGGTTCGATTTCGAAAAATTTCGATATTTTCGTACCGAACGAGGTTCGATTTCGAAAAATTCGCAACTTTTGACCACAGCGGAGTTTCGAATTCGAAAATTTCGAAGCTTTCACGGTTTCCAAAATTTCGAATTCGAATATTTCGAATATTTTTTACTTCAGGTTCGATAAATTCGAAGATCTCGAAATTCTTCGTAAAAAAAATTCGAAAACTTCGAACGCTTCGAATTTTTATAGACATGAAGTTCGAACAATTCGAAGATTTCGAATTTCTTTTTGCATAAAGTTCGAAAACTTCGAACGCTTCGAATTTTTATAGACATGAAGTTCGAACAATTCGAAGATTTCGAATTTCTTTTTGCATAAAGTTCGAAAAGTTCGAAGGTTTCAATTCTCTTTTAAAGCTAAAATAAAAAAAAAAAAGAAAAAAAAAACTTCGAAGATTTTGAATTTCTTTCTAATCCAAGTTTTCAAAGTTCGAAGTCCGATGTTCAAGTTTTTCCACAGTTTGTTTCAAATAACGTTTTCACGACTCACTGGTTTTCACGAAATCAAGTTTAGAAAAGTTAGGGTGTGATATCTAGATTCTGCGAATGAGACGACGAGTGTCCCGGACGTGCTATACTTCGTTTCAGCTTCGGTCCGAGCGCGGCCGATGTTATGAGCCGAAGGGCCAATCAAACAGCGAAAGAGGCACAACGTCATGGCGTGCTCTCTGCACTTGATAGGACCAGCGTGCTCTCTGTGCGTGCTCCTTCGCCTGCTAGTCCTATCAAGCGCAGAGCGCGCGCCTTGACGTTGCGCTCTTTACGCTGTTTGATTGGCCCTTTTGCTCGTAACATCTGCCGCGCTCGGACGGAAGCTGAAACGAAGTATAGAATATTTGCCAGTGCAGAATTGTGACCGCCAGCCCCCCGGGGGGGGGGGGGGGGGGGGGGGGGTTGTTTTTAACCTGCATCACGCAGTAGTGATTGCACGAACACACTGTTTTACGAGACTCATCCAGTTCGAAACGGCCAGGGGCGAGCGGGAGGTTGAGGCTCAGAAAAACCTTGAAGCGACCTGGCAAACTAGCTCGCCACCCCTTGCACGCTGGTAGTAATCCGATCCGGTGAAGTTTATAATTGTCCTGGAGGTTTATTTTCTGGGACGGAGGAATCGCCTCGCAAAAAGCACAAAAGCCGACACAACTCGAGGTCGAGGAGCGTTCTACCATACAAGTGGCGTCGGAAGAGGAAAAACGGGGGGAAAGAGGGTAGTGGGGGGGGGGGGGGGGGGGGGTGCTTCAGCCTCCTTCTCCCCCTTGCAGGTATTTCGAACTGTTAAAGAAAACAATACGGGGAAAGAGGGCGTGGTTGAGCTTATTTTAATCTGAAATTATTTATGCATATGTATAGCTACTGTCGCTCTTCACTGCATAAAAGGTTGCGTAGACGGTCATTGTTAGAAACTCGTTGTCAGAAGGCACTGCTCGTCACATGCTTAGTGGTTCGGAAGTTCAAAGCTGTCTTTTCGACCTAAACACCTGTGCCGATAGTAACAAAAAAAAAAAAAAAAAAGAATAAATGCGGGAATAAAAAGCAGGAGAAAAAAAAAAAACTATCAAGAATTCGTCGGAAGTGTTCTATTCTTGCATATTCAGAGGTTCAGAACTTAGAAACAAGTTTCTTTTACCAAAATGTGTACAGGCTAAAAGAAACACGTCCCAGGAACGTGAAGCGAAAAAAAAAAAAGTTTTCTTTTAATGACGGGTTGAACTTGAACACTATTAGAAATCTTCTCCCATGAGTTAATTTATTCCTTAACGTGAAAAAACAATAAATATATTATTTGGTATTCTGCAGATGGCAATGATATGTACTGTCTGTGGTGTTAATTTAAATGCGATACCTCAAACAACTTAGACGAAAATAAATATCAAGTTTAGGTTATAATTGCATGCAGATATATGTTTGGACATTTCTTCGAAACTCACGTTGAATAACAATAATCACATCTTAAGACGGCACTTACCTAGGCTATACATAGATCATTCTTAAAAAAAAGTATAACATATCTACCATAAATAGCTCCGGCTGCAGCGTGCTTCAAATCTGGCACAAACGATAATCGTCAAAAACCCGTCGTCCTTCCTCGCCCCTTCGGGGATTTATTTCTTTAAACCTAAGCATGCCAGAACATTGAAATAAACGACATTGTCTTTCGTAAGGAACGCAGCACCGCGTGTAAAAGTTCGAGAAAAAAAAATTACGAATGTACCCCACTACTTGAAATCAAATGAAACCGTCCGCCGGTCTTTCGAAGTTCGACGAACGTCGAACTTTTACCCTAAAAGTTCGAAGTTCGTCGAACTTCTGACTTTTCAGAATCCGAAAGTTCGAAACTTTTCGAATTCTCTTGATAAATAAGTTCGAAAGTTCGAAATTCATCGAATTTTTTGGTCAGTCAAGTTCGAAAGTTCGACAAGCATCGAACCTTGCAGCGCAATAAGTTCGAAAGTTCGAAAAAGATCGAATTTTTTAGCGTAATAAGTTCGACGGTTCGAAAAGCGTCGAACTTCTTAGCTTAACAAGTTCGAAAATTCGACCTCCGTCGAATTTTACAATATAGACAATTCGAAAAATCGAAATCTTTCGAACCTTTCGAACCGCTTGATTCGATCATCGAAACTTCGAATCGAAAAAAGTTCGCGGCATCCCTACTTCATGGTGTTTGTGTTTGTTTACAGTGCTTATTTGTGGGATGCGTATGCACCAAAAAGACACTATTTCCTAACAAAATTAAAAAAAGTAGATTAAAAAAATGGAGTGTTTTTTAACGTTAATCTGCGGTTCCGTCAAAAGGAATTCAGCAAAATTTATGTAAGAAGGAATTAAAAAAAAGTGGAAGCCGTTTACAACTCCCTGTAACACCGAATTAGAGCGCAGCTCTTGAGGAGGAGGAGGGAAGGGTACTGGGGGGGGGGGGTAAAGTGACCTGGGGGGGGGGGGGTCACGTGACCTTGGGGGTTCACGTGACGATGCCGATGATGTCATCAGTGACGTCACTGATGACGACATCCGTGATGATGACGATGCGGATGCCGGTGACGTCATCAGTGACGTCACTGATGACGTCATAAGTGAAGATGACGATGCGGACTCCGATGACGTCATCAGCGATGATGACGATGCTGATGTCGGTGACGTCATCAGTGACGTCACTGATGACGTAATCCGTGATGATGACGATGACGGTGCGGATGCCGGTGACGTCATCAGTGATGATGACGATGACGATGCGGATGCCGGTGAGGTCATCAGTGATGATGACGATGCGGATGCCGGTGACGTCATCGTGTGCACGTGACCTCGGCGGGGGTCACGTGACCTCGGGGGGGGGGGGTCACGTGACCCCCCGAGGGTCACGTGACGTCGGCGTCGGCCGACGCCGACGCCGCTCAAGCCGGGAACGAGCCCCTAAGAGCTGCGCTCTAAAAGAATGTATGTAAGAGGAATTCTAAAAAAATTAAGTGACCAATTTTAATTAGGAATCAAATAAGTTGTCAAAACAAAATCTAAAAATCATCAAATAAGTTGTCTAAAAAACATAAAAAAGTTTAAAAAGAAATTCATTACGATTCCAGAAAATTTTCAACAAAAATTCAAAAGAATTTAACTACATGCAGATTTTTGTAAGGGTTTACTCTCACTTTTTTTGTTCTCGCCCCCTTCGTCATAAGTAGAGAGATGTGCTTTGATTGACCTGCTCGCCGAGTGAGTATATAGAGCTCCATTCAGTGCCAACTCACAAGATGGCGAAATAGTCCCCGGAGCCGAGGGCGATGTCGTTCAACTGAGCGATGAAGATGCTCGACACTGTGATGAAGAGCGCAGTGCCGTTCATGTTGACGGTGACGCCGACGGGCACAACGAACCGCGTCACGCGGCTGTCCAGTCCGCAGTTCTCCTCCAGACACTTGAGGGTCAGCGGCATCACCGGCGCACTGCAATCCGCGAGATTGCGCGTGTGAAATCAGAGGAATGATACGTGCGAGCCGGTTTAATACGCACTTCTTTAACCCAGAGGTGCCTTTAAGCCACAGTCAGACCGATCCCACAACGTCCAAAAAAAGAGACGGAGTTTCTCTCTGCAGACATGAGGACAGACCTGTCCACGGACAGGCCTCAAGCATCCTAGAACCATGTTTGCTTCTTACACATGTATATGCTTTGAAACTGTCTGCGGACAGGCATTGTATGACCAGTGCGACTTGACCGCCATACAAGGAAGCAAAACTCTCCAGACAGTGTCTTCAGCAGACCGTCTTTTGTATAATATACGAGCAGTGCGACCGCGACTTTTATAGCTTCCTGTTTACGATCGCCTCCTCCTTCCCTACGTTCCAAGATTGATTTGTGCGTAGATGTGGAAGACCGCGTAACGGAAAGAGTACAGCGCTGCCGTCTCAGATTTCCCATACTGGAGAAGGATTCCACAATGACACACACATATATATGGCTTCACGTGACGTCACTGCTGCATACTTGTGGTCCTTCCTATAATAGTTCTTGCCGAGGAGATGGAATTCGGTGGTGCAAAATATGGGCTGCAGAAGGAACGCGTTTAACGCTGCAAATCCACTGCAGCGGCAGCTGATGTGACGTCGGTGCAAACCACGCATAATACAAGGACACCGTGATTGTTTCGTGTCGCGTGTCATCGGGGAAAATTAATTAAAAAAAGAAACATATATCGATGCAACTAGACAAAAATAGACGATTGATGTTCTTTGTACATTTTCCACACCATCAGGCATTGCTGACAGTGTGAAACCTTGACGCACTAACTCTAATTAGCGCGCATCTACATGCGGGGCGCAAGTTCGTCTGCTTCTTGTACAGGGGTTGCGATGATGTCAGAAAGCCGAGCTCTTATTGGCTGATCGGAAAAAAAAGTACTGGGTAGACCTCGAGGCTTCTAGCTTTGAGGTCTACCCACTATCCTTTCAATCAAAGACAATCAGAGCTCGCGACGTCGTTCTGACGTCACCGCCACTCCTGCGCAAGAAGCAGACGAACTTGCTCTCCGCATAATCGCCGACAGCCTGAGAGACGCAGGGCGTGGCTTCTAGCCTTCCGATTGGTTCACGCTTCTCGCCTTCTGATTGGTTCTTCAGTGTTCTTATCAACAGGTGCCGCAATCTGATCAGCTGCGGAGCGATAAGTTTCTTAAGCCGCAGTGTCACAGCTGCTCGCACATTGTACAAACCATGTTCGCTTCATACATTTCTGTGCTTCGAGCATGTCTGCGGACCATTTATTTTTGTAGGACCATTGTGACGGAAGCGTCATACAAGCAAGAAAAGCTCCTTATACATTTATACAAATGCACTAAAAGCCCCCATTCAGGTATTCACTATAACAAATTTTACTATATAACAAAGTTTTCCTATAACAAATTATATTATAACGAAGTTTTACTAAAGCGAAATTTCAATGACAGCAGGCTGTGTTTTGTATGGCGTGTTAGTAGGGTGACCGCGGCTTTAAGCTGGTCAGTGACTTTAGAAGGACTTTGACGCCCATTCCCGCTTTTCCCCCGGAAGGTGTTAATTAACATGTGGCTCGCCTGGCGGCGGTGACGAAGGCGCAGAGTCCCACGTAAGCCAGCTCGACGAGGAACTTGAAGGGGTTCTTTCGCGTGACCAGGAAGTAGAGCAGGCACTCGACCACGAACAGCTCGACGGCCAGGCCCGACAGCACGGTAGCCACGAGCAGGGCCATCTGCTCGAACAGCGTCACGATGCTGCTTACGGCCAGGATCCGCGAACAGAGGAGGCTCATCACGCCCACTGGAGTCATCCTGCGGGCGAACACCGACGGGCACGTTGGGCGTATGTTCCCTGATGGCGTCGGAGCGTGCGCAGTCTCCGTGATGGCAAAATAAAACGAAGATTGATATCGTCCGATGCACGAGTTGCATATGCACTAAAAGCCCCCACCAAATATTCACTATAATGAATTTTACTATATAACGAAGTCTGACTATAATAAAGTTCTAATATAACAAAGTTTTACTATAGCGAAGTTTCTCGATAACGAAGTTTAATAATAAAAAAAATTCACTATAACGAGTCTCACTATATAAAACACCACTTTAATAAAGTCTTATTATAACGAAGTTTCACTATAACGAAGTATCACTCTAGTGCAATCACACTAACGAAGTTTTGTTCGAACAAAGTTTTGTTACCATAAAGTTTCACTATAACAAAGATTCACTCTAGTTAAGTTTTACTAAAATAAATTTCAGTGGTGGAGGCATTGTAATGAAGTGGTATGCACTAGGCTACAATATTTTGGGATTACTTAATTTCATTCAGAAGCTGTATCTCAAAAGCATACGGCCTAGATTCCAGCAACAACTTCGGGCGTTTCAAACAATTGCAAGGTACATCGTGTTGCAAAACAAAACCGGTCATGAGAGGTGAATGAACTTTTCAGAAATGTTGCATTCAAAATGAACTGAAACGTGAGAAAGTTTGAGCACAGCGCTACCGTGTTTCCACACGAGGGGAAAAGAGAATAGAGGAGTTTTCACTCGCAGCTTTTGCCTCAACCTGATATTAAGAACGAGTTTAGAACAACGGAAGCTTCATCTTTTGTATTATCGCTTAATCCAACGTTCGCCACTATACCTGTAGTTCTCGGAAGGAAACATTGGTCAAGGGCGTCTGAACTTCATCAAAATAAAACATTTTCTTTCTATTAACAGCACAGATTAATTGCATGCCGACTGTCTTGTTAAAAATATCAACGCTATCAGAAGCTGCAGAGTAAAGAAATATGTAAAACGTATGGCAACATAAAGAATGAACAATGCAGGACACTCCCCTCAATTGTGCATCGAATGAGTAAAGTTGAGGCTATCAAAATACTTTTGCTTGAATTACAAATGCTTCTCACAGTTGTATAGTCATGCCTCCTCAACTTGTTCAATGTCTGCCCCTTACCTGTTTGATGTTGCTGAGGCCACACATACCTGGATGAATTCAAATATGTAGAACGCTTAAGGACTCACCACATGACCAAGAAGACAATCTTCATGACGACCACATCAAGGGCCGCGAAGAACTTTCTCAATATTTCGACTTCGTCACCGAGCGCTCCAAGCGCACCTCCAAAAACTACGCAAAACACGATAAGTCCTGTAAACAATAAAAAAAAAACATAATTAATTTTTTATTGGTTTTAGCGTAGACAAAAGGTTATATAAAAGTCAGCAGGAGTCATAACGCTAACTGACGTTTTTGGTTTACACGGTTTGCAAAATTAATGGCGTTTCAGTGAATTTGACAGCCTATGTTGCATGCTGTAGGTTCTGAGTCAAGTTGTAGATATCCCGATATCTTCTGGAATTATAGTTGAGGTCCCAAATAATTTAGACTTTATTTGGTTGCGCTCAATGACTCCTATTGTAGGACAGGGGTAAACTATAGTGAAAATGTTTTAAACGCGAAGAGACCCACTCTTATTTCAGAAGTGTATTCTATTATTGATGACATAGCGATCGATAACGTAATCTGAGTGCAAAACTAAAAAGGGAAGGGTGTGCGAATATTCGTTCAAACCGAACACTGCTGCGTTCTTTATAGTCTTTAGTACAGTGCATGGGAATGCCACGACAACTGGTTCCCTTAAAAGTCCTGAAGCTAGGGATGCCACTGCGCCTATTCTATTCGAACCACTACTCGCACACTTCTAAGAAAAGGCGATTGAGAACAGGATCGTATTTACCCAAGGAGTTGGTTCCTTTTCTGTTGGTCCACTGTCTCTTCGATACCTCTCGGGGTTCTCCTCCACTAGTGATGTTCTTAGTCTCGTAGGACGTGTACCCCTAAAGGAGCGAGGAGGTTAGGTTCAGTGCCATCACTTAAAAGAGAAATAAAAATGCTCAATGAGACGAATGATGGTCAGTTTCTACGGTATATGATAGCTACTACAATGATGTCCTTCTAAGGTTTTAAAAACTAAAGAAGGGTTTAAAAATGTGTTCTTTACAATGGTCGAGACGACAAAGTCTAAGGAAGTTTAGGCAGTTGTAATGTCACAAAATAGCCTTCAAGTTAATAATAAAAGTGTTGCTAAATTTTGAAAGTAATGAAAGCTTTTCACACTTTATGCGTCAAGGCTATGCATGTACAAATGCTACTTTAACTTTATGTGGTATAGCGTAAATTTAGGTCTACGCAGGCCTTACTTTAGTTTAAAAGCAGTTACTGAAACAGCTACTTGTTTGACCATGACAGTCTTAGGGGAAAGACAAGGAAGGTTGAAAATGCACAGGTCTCAGGGAAACTACGATATTGTAAAAATTGCATTAAAAATTTAAGGCACAAGATTCACCTGCTCCACACAAGCTTCTACGAGGTTTTCGGGAAACGCGTTTCTGAAATACAGTGAATAAGAAAAATAACCATAATGCATAAAAGGCACCTGATTATACAACCTCTAAGAGTCATCACGCCTGCACTTCTTGGAACTGGCTTTCATCTCTAGGTTTCTGCGATTTTAAATGGTTAGAATCAACTGTGTCATGCTAATCAACGAAGTCAAAGCAAGTCAGCCAAAGCCAGAAAATCGAACACAGCTCGCACATAAAAGACATAGTTCTCAAGAACGCGTTATAAAGAAAAGCAGCTCAAATTATTTAAACTTGTTATATTTATTCTAAGACAACCTAGCTAATGCTTTTGCAAAGCGTTTATTTTTTTTTTTTTTGTTATCACAATTTGAAAAGTTACTGGTAGTTCTACACTGGTGGGGTAATATTATTAAGGCTTGCCTCTCAACTCACTCTCGTTTTGTTCATGATACTTTTGTTATTGATTTGTTCTGCATTTAAAATTCACCTGTCGTAAATTGACATTTTTTTAGCTATGATTGCAGCGGACAAGAAAGCAAGATACACAAAGCGCAACAAGATTAAGCCTAAATAAATACAAGCTGAAAGAACGGAAGTTTTAACCCGGGTAGCACAATTTTTGGGGCCAAAATTAGCCTCTTTGCTTTGGAATTTAGGACCTTAAAATGCCCGAAGAAGCCATAGTAAAGCCAAACTTCACCTTCTTTAGCCAGAGTTCGGGTGTCATGGCCCTAATTAGCTAAACAAATTAGGCTGCACTGGTGGAAGTTTAGCTGTCATCTGGCATCTTCGGGCCAAAATCACCAAACAATTACCCGATTTATACTTCGCTGCTGGTTCTTCTGTTCGTACGTGGTATCTTTGGCTCTTGTCTGGCACTTTGGCAATTATATGGCGAGTCAAAGAAAATCCATAGACACGCCAAAGAAACGTACTCTGGCACAAACTAACGCCTTGATGCACAACCGTATTAGGCTCAAGTTATCAAATGGAAATAATACGGTTTTGCACCAAGGCGTTTCTCTGACGTGCTACCGGGGGTAATGTATAAACAAAAATATTAAATTGCGATGGCTTTATTGTTACGGAAAGTTACGACGTATGTTACCTGGAGTCTTTGGCAATGCATTCAACGACCTCCGCATATATATTTGGCGCAGTAATTACAAACATAAGACGAGATGGTGAACTTGCCTGATGAGATCAAGAAATGTGTCAAGAAGCCTTGGACTTCCTTTTATTTCATCCTCGGCGTCTAAGCCAGCTTTGAGCTCGGGGCTTCCGGGGTGAATCATGGTAACGAAGGAAAGTCCAATCAAGGCCGACATAAAGCTCGTGCCGATGAAGATGCCGAACGTTATCATGGCCATCTTTCCTTTTGCCTTGCCGCTCAAGTTGGCGCTTCCTTGGAACGAGAACGAGATTGAGGGGAGAAAATACACACTGTTACCAGAAGTAGTCAGTGCTGGGCTTTGCTTCCGGTCTGTCACTTATTAGACAAGCATTCTTAACCATACGAGACGATGCCTCTAGTAAAATCACACACATGAAGAGCATATCCTACTTAGACCCAGAAAACTTCATTATATCCCGGGGGTTTTCTCCGAGCTACCACGTGCGGATGAAAAAAACGGTGTGAATACATTTTTTAAAGGTTTTCACATGGTTTTTAAAAGATTAGTTTGTGTCTCCCCAGGACCACTCCGACACACTAAGGGTATCCTTAAAGCGATTAATAAGAAAACTACTCGAGGACGGCTCTAGGATCACCGTCATTATATCCAATGACGTGCAACTGTGAACTAATGAATATTTTTAGTTTATTGGAACAGATATTAAAGAAGCTGAGTTTCTGTCACTTTACACATATTCTGAATATCTTTGAATCGAGGTGAGCGCACGTAGGCGTTCCCCATGCCGACCATCACGGAAGCTGTGAAACTCTTCATTGCCTACTCAAGAGCGACGTTTCCAGAGTGGGTGTAAACACTTCATCCAGATAACGTGTACTTACAGGAAGACGTTCCCGCCAGTTGAAAACACCCTAAAGATTGCGGGGAATGTCTTTTAGATGTGAGCCCCAGGACAGTGACTGTTGGCAATTTCTAGCTTGGCCGCTAGGCTTTAAAGTCGGACGCAACCGGTTCAAAAGGCAACCGGTCCCTTGAAGCTCGGAGCTGCACCCTATTCATGGTCAAAGGGAAAGCCTACATTATGTCTTGTGCCACGCAGTTTTCCAATACAATATTTCATCAATGTGATTTCAACCTTAGACGCTGAACGAAGTCTATCTGTATACTTTGGATTTAAAGCTCTTTATACGAGTACTGAATACTGTATACAAAGCTAACGTATTAATGCAGAGGGAAACAGGTCATATTAGCGTTGATCACACTTAAATTCTGTGCTATATTCATCTACCAGCTGCCTGGGCTACTCATTTAGGGTCTTGGTGCATTGACAAGTGTTGTTGAAAATTCTACTATATTTGTTGCGCTGTATTCAAGGTCTTCGGATTGTTACACCCCACCTTCCCTCTCATGCAATACATTACATGGGAATGTTTTTGAGAGAAATAGGCTTCAACTTGTAGTCGTCCGCCAGGGCCTCACCGGTGATGATGCTGGCGATCATCATGGGCAAGACAAGCATGCGGAGGCAGCGCATGAACACCTCTCCGGGCATGCCGATGAGGACGACGGTCGACTCGCTGGGGTTCGCCAGCCGGAGGCCCAGGCCCAAGACGACTCCGGCGATGACGCCTCCGAGGGTGAAAAAGAGGAAGAAGTGCGTCTTCACGAACTTGTGCAACTTCTCGCAGATGGACAGGGCGCGTGCCTCCATGGCACTCGTCTCGCCTTCCAGCTTCATCTTTCCGTTCTGCGCAGAAACACAATGGGACGTCAAAACTAGAGCCACTAAGATACGTTTCAGAGCAACGAATCCTCGGCCATTTTTTGGCTTAAAGTTGTTGTTTGGCAGTTATCTGAGCTTTACTTGAAATAGCAACACGTGCTTTTATGTACTCTGGAAACATTTAAACAAAAGTCTACGACAAAGCAAAACAATATCGCCTAACTTTTCTGATACCGTATCTAATGATCAGAAAGCCGAAATTTTAAATTGTACCAGTTGGCACAAAGAAAACGTGTCCCGCTGTACAGCTCGCAGTCAACTTTAGAACATCTTGTGATTTCTGCCTTTACTCTAAATGGCATGGGTAGGCACCCTCTGAAACCAAACCGATCGCTACCCAAATGCCCTCCTATTAGAAGGTCACAGGAGGCCCGCTAAGTCAACGTCCGTGACTCAGTCTTTGAGCTCATCTGTGCATGTCCCATTAGAGCAGCTGCCGAATCGAATTTGCTGTTTCATTTTAATGCAATCTACAATGCGACGCATATTAAAATTTTGGTTGGGCTATATGGTTTATGTTAACCAACAGTAAAAAAAAGTAAAAAAATGGGTTGGAACCTGTCCATGTATAAATCGCAATTTTTTTGTTTTCTTTTCTTAATTTCTTGATTTTAAATTCTAAATTAGTTTATATTTGCAACGTGAGTGTATCTTTTGAATTCCAAATCTGTACTTAATTTATTAATAGCTGTGTTGTATTCAGAGATGTGGGGCGTTTTCACATGACACCAATCCGCCATTTTGTTGTTAGTTGTCAGTTATTGCCCTTATAGATCGACGTGACTGTTTGTGCATGGGAAGCGATGAGGAAACTCGCTTTTGACAAGTGCATAGTAAAATAATAATAGTGCAGCAGAGAAACGGTGAAAGCAGAATACTGAACGCATTATGATTATATTCAAGGCGTTTCTTAAGGAGTTGCAGACCACTTTCTCTCTTGACGTAAATCAAACACAAATGGCTACGGTGCCAGAGAGTTCCGCAGTTATTAAAATCTTAATCTTTCCAAGGCATCTTGGGGTGTAGATACCATGAATGCTTTGCCAACTTCTGACTTTCATATTCTTTTCGATGGCACTAATGTTAAGTACGCTTAAACAGACAATAAAAAAGCAAAAAAAAAACACATCATTCACTAGATTTATTTTGTACAAAATCCACACGATTTTTTATTACTCTTCTAACACAAAAATTCCACTTTAAAAAGCTTCCAAGTCCCGAGATTTGTATTTATATATTTCTGGATTAAATTTGGCATCTTGTGGGCAATTACTGTGTAGTCTCAACATCAAAAATAGCTCACTGTTTACTTTTCTGGTTAATTGTTTAGTGATCTTTATATTCATTTATATGCATAAGTATTTATATCCACCAGAGGTAATAATAACCCACTTTTGCATCGACACCCCCCCCCCCCCCCCCCTCCTCCTTTTTAAACGCTACAGCTCAGTTTCGTGCGAGCCTGGCCCCTAATTAGGTTCGATTATAATATTTATTTGTCATTTTTAGGTATTTCTATACAACCTCGATTTGCGACCGCAGTAATCAAGAATGAAAACACCGACTGCGGCAGACGAAAAGGAGAATATGGCGGACTCAGTATTTCGCGAACAATTCAGAATCTGAATATGAGCTCATCGCTAAAAGTGGGAGAACTACTAAATATAAAAGCTGCTCAAAATGATCAAATGTTAGTTGCAAACAACTAAAAATGCTGCACTATATATAGGTTTTAAGGGGCGGAACAATCAACGTAATCAAGATAGCAAAATGACAGGAGGACGCTTAAACTGCGCCTTTAACCGCTCATTCACACTGGAAGCGGATCCGCGTTCGCAAAGCGGTTGCGAACGCGGTTGTATAAAGATTCAGTACAATTGCACGCGCACTCGATTACATCGAGGGCGCGTGCAATAGAACGATCTCACGAGGAGTTGAGCGACGCCACCGCTGCCGCGGTGCATCCTGGTACCTGTAGTTCTGGGTGGTTATCATTTGAGCCCGTTATCGTTTCGACCTTCTCACTTGGCCCTTCTCAAAACAACCATTCTCAAAAAGATCTTCTCTCTTGGACCTGTCGCATTTGGCCCTTTCCCGTTTCGTCTTTCTCATTCCAACCCTCTTTATTTGGGCCCGTTCTCGTTTCGCCCCTTTCACCTGGCCCTTTTCAAAGCAGCCATTCTCAAAAATATCTCGCTTCGACCCGTCGCACTTTACTCTTTCTATACCGAAATCGTTTTCTTAGGGTAATGTTAATAAATATATTGATATAATTTGCGTGTGTGTGTGTGTGCCACGCTACAGGCGTACTCTCTCTGCTAAGGATTTTAGCAGTGCGTCGAGGTCGTCGTGAAAAGCTACTAGCTGACAATAAAACAGACCAACTATTTATCGCCGCCAGATCATATTCCGAAATGTCACGTTGTTTGAGGTCTCTCGACTTGGGACAATGCCACCACTTCTATAATGCAGTGGTTCTCAAAAGGGGGTCTGCGAAGGCATTCTAGGGGTCCGCGAAGCCCTGTCTCATCAGTCAGGCACGGCAATGTTAATTGTCTTTCTTCACGTTGAAAAGAAAGGTTCCAATTTTCGGGAGAGTACTCTCGTGTGTATGTCAATGAGATAAGTCTACTTCACAGTAGCAATTAGTTACATCAATTAATTAAATAATTATCATGATAACCTACACCTTTCTATTCCCCTCATTCCGAACGGGGTCCTCCATCATCTCCGCCTTTCTACAAGGGGTCCGCGAAACATCAATGGTTGAGAACCACTGCTATTATGTATGCCATTTTTGTTCCAACAAAGTTTCCAAATTAAATGTTCATCGCTCTTTTCTTCTCGTTTGCTTAGAGGAAGGGAAGCAAGCGTCAATGTACGATTCTCAGTGAGTACCTTTTCACATCACATATATCTGATGGTATGTTGGGAGCCCAAGCAAGGTAAGGCTCATCAACAAAGCCGCGAAGGCATAACGACGTTAGAAGCATGCTGAACTAGTGCCATTCGGTCGTAGCGCGGACGGGCAAAATGAGAATGGGTCCAGTTACGGATCGGATCTTATGAGAAGGTTCAAACGATAAGGACCAAATGAGAATCGGTCGAAATGCGCAAGGTTCAAATGCGAATGGGACGTTTTGAGATACATCCGTAGTTCTCCCCAGTTTTCCGGCCGCGTCGATGCGCATTGTACGCCCGGCGTTTGGAAGTTTTCGGGTTAGCACGAGACTTTTAGCCAGGTGGTTTTCATGGTTTTCATAGGTGGCTTCACATGTTGTATGCCACGGAGCTATAATAACAGCACCAGGCAAAAAGGCCTCGGATATTATGTCTTCCCGCAAGAAAGAAGCATGGCAAAGAAAGGTCAACAGAGCCGGACAGAGCGGCAGGAAAAATAGCGTTTTACGATTTGTTTTGCGATTTGCTTCATAATTTATATCCAACCTGTTGCACGTCAGCTAAGATGTGTAAGATTACAGGGCACGAGACATAGAGCGAGCCGAAGTGTTCCGTAAGCTGGAATTTCTCGGTCCATTTGCTCCGTCGGTCTATTCGTTGGTCTATCTCAAATAGGACCTCCGCACTGCTTTGTGGAGGCCGTTTTTAATACACTTCTTGCTCGGTGTATTTGGTGGTTATAACTGTTATTGCGACGACATGTTTCAAGCACAACTGTGCTTCAAAAGATCAGGACAATCACTAAAAAAGAACAGCGATTCCCGATATGCACCACTCGAAATAAAACAACCTTTTTGGAAGCAGCCTTCATTTTTGTTTTTTCATACAAACGTGAAAAGATTACATAGTGCAATTTAGAACTGCAACACGTACTTACCGAAAAAGAAATGTAACAAACGAACCTCATTCATTTTGTGCTGGTCTATTAGGCTGGTATTACTGATCCATTCTGCATTAGCACCAGTCGAGACCGCAGGAAAAAGCTTCCCCCGTCGGGCGACTGTTAGCGTTCGGATCTTGCGCAAACAAAATAAAATGAATAGAAACCGTGCACGAAAAATCATCTCCACCTTAAGCTTTCAGGTATCTGGCATGGTTGCTTCTTTTTGATAGATGCTAATTATTACGGCGCGTCAGGCCTGACCTTTCTGTAGATCAGTTCTTCGTGTGCAGGCTTCTCCCGCTGTTCATCTGTACTCTGTCACACAGGCTGTCAACCAGAATGAAACAACTTTTAGAAAACTATCGCTCACCGAGAAAGTCTATTTAACTTCTCTTACTTGATGGCTGATTAAACGTTATGCACAAGACTGAGCACCACCAAGCTCAGTTTTTTATCACATCTGATGCTGTTCCGTGGTGCTACACCGAGCCAATGGTCCCTCAAGTTTTGTTGTTCTTTGCTATTGCACTAGATGTTTACTTGTTTGCAAGGTAATTGAGACGTCCGAGGAGTCGAAATGCTCAAATAGTGTCGCCGTTTTTTTCTTTTTTTCTTTTTTTTTTTTTCTCCGTGGCCGCAGTGGGATTACCGCGTGAACGGCAGTGGGCTCAGGCGTTGACGAAGACGAAGAAGCAGACGACAAGGCGATTCTAAAGCGATAAGACGACTGAGACTGCTTTTCTGCACTTGGTGAGGAAAGTAAGGCATCACAAACAACACAATCTTATGAAGTAAAAACATGCAAGAGAATCAAGGTGATACCGGGACGTGCCAAATGATAATCTATGATGATGTACGTACGCGCAGCCGTGTGTATCCGGGAAGCCGGGAACGGATGACTACAAGTAGCATGGCGGCGGCACCACTTCCGGAATGCGCGCGCCTGCGCAGTTCGCTTGGTGGCATCGGTCTATTTTACTGGATCTTTATACAACCGCGTTCGCAACCGCTTTGCGAACGCGGATCCGCTTCCAGTGTGAATGAGCGGTTAGAGTGGAACGCGATAGCTAAATATAAATCTCGCTTGATCCCAAGCCATGTAAGCGTGTCTGCGTGACCT